CTGGAATCCCAGCTCTTGGGAGGCTGAGGCAGGAGGATGGCCGTGAATGTGAGACCAGCCTGGGTGGGTTCAAGGCCAGCCTGTACCATATAATGAGACCCTGTCTTAAAAACCACACGCGTGCACACACAAGCACACAAGAGAAACCATTCAATGTTTAAACTGTGTGTCTGGTTTATTTCACTTAACATGGTGGTCTCAAGGTGCATCCGTTTTCCTACACAAACGACTCAAGTGTATCTTTCTTTATGGCAGAGTAATACTCCACTCCGTGCAAATCCCACATTTTCTTTGTCCATTCATCTGTTGGCGACATGTAGGCTGTTGTTAAGATTTAGTGAGAATGAGTTGCCCTGCTATAAACATGGGTATGCTTGTATCCCTGCAATAGGATAACTAACCTTTTAACCCCTCCCAAAACGAAGACGCCTAAAAGAGGACCAGTGGGGCAAACGGAATTTCTAGGTTTAGCTTTTGAGGAGCCTCTGTTCTGATTTCCACAGCAGCTGCAGCAGTTTACCCTGTGCCAACAATGTGGAAAGCACCCCCCCAAGACTAGCCAACATTTTTTTCTCACTTAATCGTTACAGGCTTTACTCTGTCCATAGAGAACATCTGTTCTTTTCTTCGGTCCCCTGGACCTTCCCAGACCTCAGAGGTCTTGCCACCAGCAAAGCCTCAGGCAATTTCGAGGAAGTCCAGAGTCTACATTTCACCATCTCTGATTGGCTCTCAGAGAAAACGGACAGTACTGTCCCCTGCCATTGCCACGTCATTAAGGAAATAACCCTCTCCCTCCACAGCTGATTGATGAAAAGAAGTAGGGGGAACATTTTACACCAAAACTTTAAGACAGGGGTAAAGTTACACTTAGAGGAAATTCAAAGGTAAATAAATTCTTTTGTTATTTTAAAAATAGACTGAAAAACCTCACTTAAGTTCTTTTTTGTTGTTTGTTTGTTTTTTTTTGAGACAGGGTCTCACTATGTAGTTGAGATTGACCTGGAACTCACTATGTAGCCCACGCTAGTCTGGAACTCACAGCGATCCTCCTGCCTCAGCCTCCCGAGTGCTGGGATTACAGGCGTGAACCACAATGCCCGGCTCTCACTTAAGTATTTAATTTAGGAAAATTTAAGAAAGAACAATACAAGAAGACACACAAAGACACACACGAGTACAGTCGGAGGGAATTGGTAAAAGTGAAAGTTGCAAATAATGAGATAGAAAATTGGAAATGATATAAAGATAAATGAACACAAACTCAATTCTAAAAAAAACAGTTAATTAGGTAGACTCCTTTCGAATCTAATGAAGAAAAAGAGAAGAAAGCAGAAATGGAATAGGGCCAGGGATTTAGCTCAGTGGTTCCACCATCTGCCTGGCAAGTGCAAGGTCCTGAGTTCCATCCCTGTTACAAAACAAAAAACAAAAAAACAAAACAACAACAACAACAAAAAAAAACACAAACAAAAAAACAATAAACTGGGAGTAGTGGCGCACACCTGTGATCCCAGCACTTGGGAGGCTGAGGCAGGAGGATCACTATGAGTTCAAGGCCAGCCTGAGCTACATAGTGAGTTCCAGGTCAGTCTCAACTACATAGTGAGACCCTGTCTCAAAAAA